AATCACTCAATTAAAATAATTCCAAAGTTCATTATTTTAATTTGTATTATTTTAAATACTTAAATTAAACTTAAGTTTAATCATGTGAATTATAGAGTCACAATATAATGATTACTCTACATTTTTAAATATTGTTGTAAAATTTATAAAAATATTTAAAAATGTAGAGTAATCATTATATTGTGACTCTATATTTTGATTTACAATGTATATCATTACTAATTCGCATAAATACATACATTATGTTTTGAATCACACAATTAAAATAAAAATTCCGAAATTCATTATTTTAATCTGTATTAATTTAAATAATCAAATTAAACTCGACTTTAATCAAGTAAATATAGAGTCACAATATGATGAAGACTCTACATTTATAAATATGGTTGTAAATCATTACTAATTCGTATTAATACATACATTAATATGTTTTAAATCACTCAATTAAAATAATAATTTCAAAGTTAATTTGTATTTTAAATAATTAAATTAAACTCAAGTTTTATTAAGTAAAATATAGAGACACTATATATAGATCACTCTACATTTTTAAATATCGTTGTAAATTATTACTTCTATTCGTATAAATACATACATAGAGTTTATAATTCTAATTTGCATTATTTTAAATCTTTATCATTTTCGCGCGAATTCGCTCAGAATTTCTGCGCATGTGCAACTTCACTCACCTTGGCGTTTCAAGTCACTTTGACGTTCTTTTAGAGGTTATGTTTGCCAAAATACCGGAATCGATTTATACAGTTATTTCACTTAAAAATCCTCATTTTAACTATTATTTTATTTTAAATATCACATTGCTCACTTATAAAAATACAACATACAAATTAAAACAATTTATTTCTTTAAATTTCTTTAAATAACACTTTGTTTACAAACACAACAGTAGAGAGACCGCCAGACTGACATTTACAACACAACTACAGTGTTATTACAGTGTTATTGACAACAGCGCATTTGTATCGTTAGTAGTACAGTAGTACATGAGTACTCTTCATCATTAAAGATTGATTACAAAATGACTTGCAATTTCTGTTTACTGGATCAATGTACAATTACGAGATGACTTATGAAAAAATTAAATATTATCAAATTGTATTAATTTATCTATTATAGCAATCATATCAATATTAAATGAATATTTACGTTATTTGTGTAAATAATAATAACAAACTAGTGGTGGCCTTAAGGCAAATTGCTGGTACTTCCCGTACCGTAACGAAATGTTCGAGGAATATTAAATGTTTTCAATTAGATTATTATAAATACTGTAACATTGTCTAATATTTAGGAGGATTATATAAACTGAATTGCAAAGTTGAAATTATTTGTTTAAAGTATATTAGAACTTTAGTCAGAATTAAAAATAAAATCTGAATCATTTTCGATATACAAAAAAAATTCTTTCTGAAAAAAAAAAATTGTAAAAAAAAATTGATTTTTTTTTAATCAATTATTTTGTTAAAACAAGCAGAAAGTTCTTTGAATCATTCAAATTGGACACTTATTATTAGTTCTCTCAAAAACTGCCATTTTAGCACATTTTGCTCTGTATCTTCAAATTGGCTGGCCTTGCCTTTGCCAAAAACTAATCACCTCTTCTCGCAATCATTACAAGTTGAATGTTTTTTAGATCATCTTGCTCCATATCTCCGAAACGGCTGGACTTGCCTTTGCCAAAAACTAATCAGTACATCTCCCTATCAATAGGAATCGAATGTTTTTTGAACCATTCAAATCGGTTGATCCGTGCGCCCGTAAACGTAGACGAAAAATTGTATTCATACATACATACACACGCACACACATCCATTTTTTCTGAGGTATGCCAAAATGTTCAGAAACTGTTAATAATCTGGAAATTTACGGAGAACACTGTGTTGATTTTATTTTTAACTTTCAAGAAGGGCATGTTTGTTTTTACCAGATACTTTGGTTTACAAATTGATGTTATAAGTCATTTTAAATCGTTTGCACCAAATTTTATCTATAATTGACGATTTCTCAAAAACGTTTACGCCGACTTCAAAAACTCAAAAGCTATTTCATAAAACTCGTTAAAACTTGCCTTCAGTGGCGGATTAAGCTCTCTGCCGCCCTAGGCCCTATCCGTTCAGGCGGCTTTTTTAATAGACAATATTCTATTTTTTTAATGAGACTTTCTTTTTTTAATTATTTGGATATAATTTTTAACTTTGCTTAAGGTAAGTTATGTTAATCGCAAATGAATCGAAAATAATATTTTCTTTATATCTTCACGTTCCAAGGCCTTCTGAACATTTTGGTATACCTCAAAATGTGTATGTATGTTTGACTAGGATCAATCCTTAAAATAAATTGACGTGACAATTTTTCGGATTTTGAAATTTGACATTCTGAAAAATTTGCCGCCTTTCAAATTGTACCGCCTGCTTGCCTTGATTAGTTTTACGTAACGATTGGTCCAACAGTTTCTTTATTATAATTAGCAGATAAATACATAAGTTTGGCTAAATCATTGGTGATACGAATTTAGATACCAACATAAATTACATAAATAAATTTTGAGTTTCCACAAGAATGTACCGAATTGGTTAATAAAACAAGACGCCAAAATAAACAAAATAATCTCTGAAAAAACGAACACATTCAGACAATTTCAAAAGCCGCCTCGAGGATCATCCAAACCCGTTTCTAGAGAACTACACTACAACACTATAGGTCCTATAGAATAGGGGCAAAATAAAATTTATGTTTCATTGTCATACATATGTCAATTTCAAATATTCCTCACAATAGTTGTATTTTTAGACATTTTTTCCTACAGTTTTTTTGTTGTTTATTTTGGGAATGGGGTAAAATTCAATGTATTTTTAATAATCACTATCTAACTAGTGGTGTGTGGCATCGTGCCTTAAGGCAAATTGCTGGTACTTCAACTTCACATACCGTAATGAAATATTTGAGGATTATATTAAATGTTTTTAAATAGATTATTATAAATACTGTTACTTATATATGTTTACAGAAAAGTAAACAAACAAAACTTAATCGATCAAATTTAAAATGTCGGACATTGTATAATATTTATAAGATTTTTATGAACTGAATTGCAGAGTTAAAATTAATTATTTGAATTATCGGGAGTATTTGAAGTATCATTCAAATCGGATGCTTATTTCTCTCAAAAACTGCATTTATTTGCGCATTTAGCTTCGTATCTCCGAAACGGCTGGACCTGCATTTGCCAAAAACTAATCACCATCTTGAATGTTTTTTGGATCATTCAAAGCATGCCAAAATGTTCAGAAACGTTCAAAACGTGAAGAAATGCAAAAATTCCAATTTCGATTTTTGAACGACTACAATAACATCCTACGGATAGTTAATAATATAATAATTACTATATAATATATAATAAAAAATCTTAAACCAAATTTGAAAGTTCAAAAACTATTCGAAATATATGTCAGGGATCGTGATGATTAGTTTAGGGTAGAGATCGGTTACTAATTAATTTTTTTTGGACAATTTTAATGAATAGTTTATTACGCGACGATAAGTTTCATGGTCTAAACGAACATTTTAAATATCTAAATTATTATAAGCTTACAAAAAGTACTCTTTAATTAATTCAAACAGGGATATTATAAGTTTGTGGGACATATATTGAAAATTATATAAGTAGGAAATTTGTAAAAGCAAAACTTATTCATTGGAAATAAAAATTTCAAAATATTATACAAATAGCTTATTCTTAATTCGTATCGAATTAGGAAGTTTATGCAACTTGCCTTAAAGAAATAGCCCACATAAAACTAGCTAATTTCCTTTGTACAATGATAATAAAGAATATTTACCATAACTATATATTTTGTTATTAAAAACTTGCTATTTTAAAATTACAAAATAAAATGTCAATAAATAACTACATTTAAATAATTTTAATAACTAAAAATACAATACAAATAATTACACTTAATTAATTTTAATGAATAATGGCACCATATTAATAATATTAAATTGCGCTTAATTAATAATAATAAATAATTGCAGTCAATTGATTAATTAATTAGTTATTTAATTTATTATTATACAATAAGTTAATAATAATCATTTAATTAATATTAATAAATAATTGTACTCATAGTTGTTCGAATTATATATGCAATTTTGTAGTCATGCATTGTTTGTGTTGTATTCTATCTTTTTGTCGCAGAATATGATCTGAAAAATCAAATTTTTCATTACTTAAGAACACTTTAATACATTTTATTGTATTAACTAAAACTGATAGTTTTGATCATTTGAATTAAACAAACTACACTCATATGTATATTTTGCACGTTACGAGTTCTTGAAATATTTCTATTAGTAAATTGACTATTTAGTGAAAAATTAGCGAATTTTGACCAAGAGAAGAGAAGCTTCTTAGTTTCAATAAATGATTGAATAAATTAAATATTATTGCACTTAATTGTTATTATTTTGTTTAAAAGAATAAACGTTAAACTGACAGTGTCGAAGTGTCAAAAAACATTTTAAATGCACAACCGATTAGTACATTTAGACCAAAAGAAAAGCCTAATAATTTCATTAAATCGTAATTATTTGAATGCTGCAATAAAATTCTCACGGTTTTATTTAATTTTGAGGTACAAAATTTTAAGAAGTAATTTTAAGTATTTCCTTTGATATAAACGAAACTGATATCTCGAGCAACAAAAAAAATTGGAAAATAAGTTACAGGTGGAACCCAAATTTTATACTACAATTTTAACAAATTATTTGAAAATTCAATCACTCAATACGGGGATTATTTTTAATGTCTTTATATAATTATTAATACAAACTTTGAGAAATATTGTGATAGCCATTGTTCAAAAAAGTAAATAATGATATTCAAAGATATCAAACAAAAAATGCTTTCCAATGATGACAACAAGAATATTTATCAGAAAATTATCTCACCTGTATTACACGGCAAAGCTTTTCCATATCAATCATCTACAGTTATAAAGTGTATTTATTCTGAAGATATCAGATTGGCTCAATCCCGGCTTGTTATATGGATCTGTGAGTCTTTCATTTGTCTTCAGTGCTGTCATTGTCTTAGAGACGCCATCCTGAGGGTCAAATAAAATAAATGTTCACATTAAGGGATGGTAGAAACACAATCATCAATAATAAATGTACGAAACGGTCCTTTGGAGTTCTCAAGTATTTTGCTTAAGTGGTGATTAAGATTGATAAATCGAGTTGTATCAAAATTGCGTAAGGGTTCACAGTTGTGCAATTATGACAATTTATATTACATTTTTCAAATGGTTTATTGTCGAAATGTAGGTCAATCAATTAACCAGTAAGTTACAATTGATATTCTACTACTTTATCGGCATTAAAGGATTTAAATAATGCGCGGGATCCTATTTTGTTCAATAAATTTAGCTATTTTTATAGAAAGTATCCGCGAACTCTTTGAGGACCTAAGTCCTCAAGAGTCCCGAGTGTTTAAAAGGCCCAAATCTTTCTTTATATTTTCATGTGAAGGGGATTCAATTTATTAACATCTCGAAGGAGAAGTTTGTCATTTGGCTAATTTTGTTTTCTCTATGTTTCCAGACATTCTGAATCGTTTGATAGCAAAATGGAAAAAAATTGACACTTTGGCGACATTTTCTCAGAAACAGCTGTACTGATTTCTAAAGTTGCTATTTAATGAATGCTATTCAATGAATGGACTTAAATTGGTTAGATTTGCAGGACTGTTGGTCGTGGAGTTTATTTGCTATTAGCGGATAGATGTAAACTTTTTATTGTCGTTTAACTAAAATCTAAACTAAACTCATTAAAATAAATCGTGCTGATTAGTTGCTGGTAAAGATTGGCTGGGCAGATTCATCTTAATATTTTTTTTTGACTTTCTTACTGAAACTTTGTATGGTGGTAAAGTGCATAATCCTTACCAACATCCTAAAATATTCTTATCGACCTACAAAATAAGGTTTATTGCAAAAAATCAACAAAGGTCGAAATAATAGGAAAGTATTGATTTTTTTTTTGCCGCAATTATTAATATTACTAAACCATTACTTATTAATTGCCACTTAAAGCAAAATGCCACTTACACCTAAGTTCCATAGTGTTTAAAGAGCACACAAATCATCAATGACCAAACTTAACTATCCGAATATGATGATTATGTGTACTTCATATGGCTAAATATTGTAATTTTAATATTTTGCAAAAACTTACAAATTTCAATTATTAAAATAATTGTTATAAACTGATATATTTTTATAGACTTTATATATTTTTTATATTTTTTAAAAAAATCATCATTACTTGCTAAATTAGAAAGCATTTGTTTGGTGCTATTCCAATGGCAAAGGCAAAATGTGTAAATGTAAATTATCATATCATATAAATCATTTACGATTTAGATTTCAGTAGATATAAAAATTGGGATTAGTTATCTTGCAATATTTTTTATTAAAATTAATACAGAATAATATTAATTTGAACTCTCTTTTAATAATTTTCGAGAATTATCGATAAAAGTTTTCAATGTAAACGACAGAAATTTTATCCAATAATATATCGTACTCTATAACTTCAACATTCAAATGTGAACGTTAATTTATTTGTAAACACTTCAATCGCCATGTCAGTCATATATGTCTGTGTGATATAAAAAATAGTTTCTTCTGCAATTTTGTCAAAAAACTTTTTTTTCTGATACATTATTCTGTTGTAAATTAGACCAATGTTATAGCAAAGCTATGATACGTAGCATTTTTCATAAAAAGTGGTACTGAAAACTGTAAAAATACTAAGTGGTTGCTGTGCAGTCAGGCGTTTTTTAACCTAGAAAGCACACAAACGCCAAAAAAGAATCTTATGTGATTATAGCACATCATTCTGATGTGCTATAATCACATATGAGTGAAGTTACATTTTAAAATACAGAGCATTTTGACAGTTTTTAGTACCAATTTATATGAAAAAATCTACGGAACATCTACGTCTGCTATAAAATTGGTCTATTTTACGGCAGAATCGGCCCATAAGTTTTTTTGATACATTTTTAAATATATTTTGTAATGAAGTTACTATAGCCCACGTTTATATCATAATTATGTTTACACTTTATGATTAAATTGTAAAGTGGCTTTGTAATCTTTAATAAATTACATCTGATAACATTTTAACTGTTCCTTACAAATTCGCCATATGTATCTATATCTTTATAAATATTAATTTATTACTACTTTTTGATTAGATTTTTTTTGTAATTATAAACTACATTACAAATTTGGGTCTTTTAAGGAAATATTTAATAAATATTTAAAAACTGTACTATTGTATGCATTCTTATATATGAATATAAATAATTATAATAAATATATTTATTTTACCCGCATTTAGACATAATTGCAATTAGTCTAATTACTGTTACAGGCACTAAATAAAACCTGTAAGTCTTTCAAAAATTTATACCATTCCTCGAGTACTTTTCTTCAAATGCCATTTAAAAATAAGTTATTCAGACGTTAGGCTATTTAACAAAATTAAATAGGTTAAGCCATTTAAAAATAAGTAAAAATTTGGATGTAAGGCTATTCAAAAATATTAAATAGGTGTAACCATTTAATCTTAAGGCAAATTTTATCAATTTTCTAATGCTTCTAAGAAATCGATTTAATTATTAATTAAGTAATATAAGTATTAAGTAAATAATTTAAATCTGGCCTATTTCAATACATTTTAACTGTTTATTTTAACTGTTTAACCATGTAATTAGCAGTTGATATAATTCAAATAAACTAAAAATATTTGTAATTTTTAATTTGTAATTTGTAAATTTTAGTTTATTTTTTGAGACCATACAGTTTATGATAGTTGAGTTTTATCGAAAAAAATCTTAAGCAAAAACTGAACAGCAGGATTCCTAACCAATATTGTTAGAACATAGAACTGTTTTTAAATTGTTGAAATTGATTGATTTTGGCAAAAACGTGGACGGAAAATGTTGTAGTTTCCTGCTAAATGCAAAGAAAAGGCTTGACCGGTCATCGCGCAACGCTGATAAACGCTAGAGTAACATCAATTAGCTTAAAATGGGTCCAAAGGATTTTGAGTAAACGTTGATAAAAAATGACAAATTGGCTCAATACAATTTTAAATTTGCGTGTCAGATGATTCTGAGTGACTTGAAACGAAATTGAAACTGCCGGATTTTGTGGTAAAATTATGAATATTTTCTTCTTGGTATTAATAAATAAATCCTAAATTAAAGTGCATGATATAAAATATATTATTGCCCTAAAGGTGGCATAATATGTGATCACATATCATCGTCACCAATTTTTTAGCATTTATGATAAAAGGCGGCTGCCGTTCTATTTTTTCTTCGCCACGCACATAGCAAAATCATTTGAGAAATGTCACTAAAATACAATTCAGTTGATGAAAACACGAATTTCTACAAAGACGAATTTTTAAAGACATAAAGAGATTTAAAAGATTGAATTCGTCTCGAGGTATCACTATATGCCACAGAAGACGCACGTCTAGACTCGAAGACATGGGAAAGTGATATTGAGTGAAAAACGTATGTTCTTTTCTTTCTTTCAAAAAAGAAAAGTAAATCACAAAAGGTAACAAAGTGAAAACAATATTTAAAATGACTTCAGGATTTGTTATGCAGAACGATTTGTACAAGAGATTTTTTCTTGCAAAAAGTTTAAACGCGATGGCTGTAAGTAAGATTATAGGATTAAACATTTTTTCTATTTAAATGTGTATCGCTTACAAGAATTAAAAAAGTTTGTGGACTTTAAGCTTGTAATTTGAATATCAACAGAATAATTTCAGAAACATTGCTCAGTTTGCGTTGTAAATCGCATACATTTCTAAAAACCCCTACATTATATTATTATAGAGTAGAGCAGTCCGTGGGTAAAAAAAATCCAACATCATCTCAAAGAACGAGTATAAATAGGAAATTTTTAAAAATAATATTCGACAATAGAGTAAAAAATATGTGTTATCAGAATCTAAATGGCAATGTTTGAAAATCCACAACAAAAGTACTTTTTTTTGTTGTTTGTTTTTGTCTTATGAGTACTGTGGTTTAGTTTACGACGTCTTAATATAATATTTAATATTTAATTATTTAATAAAATGTAATTTTGATTTTAAGTTAGAATCAACAGTTTCTTTTATAAGACCTCTATAATAGCTCACATGTGGGAAGGGTAAAAACCAACTAAATCTTGGCAAATTGCAAAAGTGTATATAATAAAAGTGAATAAAATGTAATTTGGGTTTAAAAGTGCAAATGTATTAAACTATTGTATAAATAAATATAAAGTGCAAGATTGCTTAATTTTGTTACCTTTGCAAATGCGCGTTCTCCATAAATCATGATTGATTTATAATCAAATTTATTCATCAGGACGGTTTGACTAGCTGGCAACTTTTCAAATTGTCTTCTCATTGTCTGAAAAATTAGTAATTTATTACAAACACATAGAAAATGCATATTAAATTATATTAAAATTAGTTTAACCCTTTAAAGAAACTCAATAGATTATTTGATTCAAACTCAAGTAATTTAATTATAGCCAGAAATTATAAGATTTTAATTATAATGGAGATGAATTACTAGATCGGAGATTTTGTTGTTCTTAAATTATTTTTTTATTTACGTCAGAATCGGCCCCTGAGTTTCAAGTATTTAGGTTAAATGTTTAACTGATTAATTAATAAAACACTTAAACAAACTTAAAGAAATATTAGTTTTTACTAAAAAATAATTAAAACCATTCCCAATTTATGTTTTTCAAAAATACTTTTAATAATAACACATTGCATTTTATCCATTTGGTGTTCTATAAATGTATTTTAAGGGTAAGCAACAACTATAATTAGCTAGAACTGCCTACAAAATATATAACATTTTGGTAAAATTCTAATGTTTCATAAATTTTCATAGTTCAACTGCCTTTTGTAAACCTATATTATTTCAATATCTTATCTCAGACTATGAAATATATCGTCAAAGTTTTTTCCAAAATTGACAAAGAATTTTCAACAACCAATTACATCAATACCGACCGTCAGATTTTTACCAAAAACTAATCAGCGATTTCCAAACAATATCTTTCGAATAGTTTTTGATTTTCAAAAATAGATTCGAGATTATGACCTAAAAAATTTACACAATCACAATCTATGCCAAACATGCGTTCAAACTGCTTTTTGCCCGTAGCTACTGATTACAGTTGTCGTCCATATTTAAATAAAATTCAAAAACGAAATGTAATAATGTATACAATTACAGATATTATAAGTATGTTTATAAGACATCGATTGGAAATTAAATTGATTATTATTTAGTAAAAGCAAAACTATTTTACCGAAATAGCTGAATCTCAATTCTTGTTAACTTGCCGTGGGGTAAGTGATAGTAATTAAAAATGATTTTATTTGTTTCAAAAGTATCTGAACAATTTGGCATCAATTAAAAAATAATAAAAAAATGAGACTTGTAAAAAATATAGTATTTGCCATATTTTTACGGTCTTGCAAATACAGCATGAAATGTATGCCTCTAGACCAGAATACTCCCTTAATGTGACTGACAATCATAAGTATTTTATTAAAATAATAGTTAATAAATAGACTTTATCATTTGCATTTTTCAATTAACGTGATTGAATTATTTATGATAAAAAAAGACATTATGCCTTCAGTCTTTCTTGCCTAATATAACAATATCAATAATAGGGATATAAGATGGACAGTGCATATAGTATCGTTTGGATTCATCTTGCTGGTTGAATTTATCAAGAAATCATATATTGTTATTAAACCAAACGAAATATAAGAATTTAATCATAACTAATAACATAATTAAAGATATCTTCTAAAGACTTATACCATAATAAATCGTATATTTTAAAATTTTATTTTAACAGTCTGCTCAAAATCTGCTTCAAAAACAAAAAAAGCCATTAAAAGAAAATCATTATGCATTTACTTACTAAAGCAATGTTTTCCCAGTGGATTTGCAAAAACTCGTCTCGATCAGACCGATTTTGTTCATGATAAAAACCTATGGAATGGCCCAATTCGTGAACGGCCGTTCCCACATTGTGGCAGCCGCGCCCCAAAGATACGGGCTGCTCGCCAGATGTAACTCCTACGTGAGCGTAACAGCCACCACTAAAAAATTGAGAGATCAGTTAATCACCTTTACGTGTAAATGATATATTTGAACACTATTTTAAATTGATATATTGAATATCTCTTTCATAAAGATATTTTTTAAAGTAGATTTTAATGTAGAAAATGTTGGCGCTTAAAAAATAATATAAACCTATAAAATATCCCATAAGTAATACTGTAAATGATATTATTAATTGTTAGATAGAAGTATGGGAAATTTATACAGAGTTTCCAAAACTTCACGACAAGCCAAAACGGGGTGTTAGTATTAGTTGATATACCTTAACCGTAGTGAAAAAATTAAAAAAAACTCATATTGTCTGATAGCTATGAGCTAGTGATGGGCTGAATCGACGAACGGTTATTTTCAACCGTTTCTTGTTCGTTAACGAACTAACCGTTTCGTCGCAACGAAATAACTAGTTGAAAATCAACTGGTTTCGAAATAGTTGAAAACATGGCGACCAGTTAGTTATTCAACGTACGCAGGTACCTAGAACCTAGGTCTGAAGTCAGAAAGGATCAACTAATACTATGAAAATCGCTTATTGTTAGGCTACTGCTTTTATAATATTGCAGATGTACGGGTACATATTAAAAGAAACTTGCAACATGCGCTAAATTTTTTAATTTTAGAAAATCAATTACATTTATTCAATGGTTAATGTTTTTTCATAAAATTCTCATAAATGTTTTTAAACCAAACCTGAAAATTGATTTTTTATTTTTCATAACATTTTTATGTAACTATATATTTTTATATTGCTATTTTTATATAACATGTAAATTCGATGTTGTAGTATATGGCTTCGCTGTAACGAAAATATATTAAACCTTAGTATTAATAATAATAAATGTGATATATATATATATATATATATATATATATATATATATATATATATATATATATGAGTGAGTTCTTGAGGGCGATACATCAAACAAAGAGTATCGCCCTCAAGAACTCACTCATATATTTCAACATCAAATTAACTACTAAATCATATATATATATATATATATATATATATATATAAATGTGACAATTCACATTTATTTCTTTTTATTCATCAAATCAGTTCACAAACTCAACTTGACTTTTATAATAACAAACTTCATATTACCAACTTTCAATGAAACACGATTGCCCCAAGTTTTCAAGAATTAAGACATTTCATATAACTATGAATATAAAACCTTGAGAGGCCCATCCTTAAAAAATGTCCTAAAGTCTGTAAGTAAGTTTCATCAAAAGCTGGCGCAGGGTTGTAAAATAGTAGAATACTTGATAATATTATAATAGAAAAAATTCGAGTAAAAAATAGAAACCTAAAAATAATAAAAATAAACATAAATATAATTTTACAATCCTGATTAAATGCTACAACTTATGATAAAAGTTTCCAAAACACATTAGTACATATTTTTAAAGAAAGGCATCCATTCTCAAAATCGACCGATTTTTTTAAATTTATAGTTCAACAAAAAGTCTTAATTCTTTAAAACTTGAGACAATTGTGTTATTATATTTATATAATTATACTGCGGCCCTAGAAATGTAACTCACGGTTACGGTTTCAGAGTTTAAAAAAAAAAACTTAATGAAAATTAAACACAATAACCGAACAATGGTCATAATTTCTTTAAAGCTCTTTAGGTTGCACTTAAAAGCTCGATATTTCCAAACAATGAGCTATTTTTTAAATATTTTTCAAGACAATTAAGGTCAATATTAAAAACCAGTTTTGACTATAGTTTCAGCGCTGTATACGTATTTAATATTTTATTTCCTTTATTTAATTGTTTTTTATTTATTTGTATGTTTGATTTTGTACAGTATTTTATTAACAAACTACAAAGTTCAAGACATTATCTCTGTTGTAAATATATAAACATACACATTCACTTACATGCGATTCTAATACATATTTTCCTAAGTAATACAAAATTTTTGAAAAAAAAAATCAATTCGATATTTTATTTAAGGGGGTATTCTACTGTAGAAGCATGAATTTTGCCCGGTTTTTAAAGCGCTGTATAAAGAAAACAAATGATATTTTTACTATCGATTTTTTTATCATTTGTTTATTGATATTTTATTATTCCATAAAAAAAATTATTAAAGAAAAAAAATTAGAATTTACAAAGTTATGAGCAGTCAAAGTGGGAGCTCAAAAAAAAGAGGGTGTCCTGGCGTGCATGATTTCAACCCTCCTGGTGATCCGAAACATAAAAAAAAGATGGATTCTTAATTATTATAGATGTCGCTATCGTATGAACCTTGGATAAGCCAAAAAAAACTTTTTTGTTTGAATGGCGGCAGTTTGAAAAAAAAAATTTTTTTTCATGTTTTTTTTAACAATTCCGAATTTTTTAAAAATACTTAATGAAAAGTTATAGTTTTGGTAGAGGTCCATGCGATAAAGCAATGTATAGAGAAGATCCTCTCCAAATTTGAAGTAAATCGGTTCATTAGAACTCGAGATATCCTTACCGCCAGCTCGAAAAAAGTAGTTCCGAGAAAAACGCGTTCAAAGTTTTGAGACTCGGTCGGACCCGAACCGAGACCACGTCACTAAAGCGGCTATAACTCAGGAAATAATAGTAATTTTGAAAAATCCTTTTAATGACATATTTTTGAATAACTAAACTTTGAAAATATGAAAAAAAAAAATGTTTCGACTTTTTCAAAATTCTACAGTAGAATACCCCCTTAACATGTTAATCGCCATGTCAGTCATATTTGTCACACGCTAAGAAATCCTACTTGTTTAATTGTTAATATTATAAAAATGGCACATATTTTTTTAAATACATGAGATTATAATATAATAATAATTTATAGTAACATTTAGTTTTTGGGAACTTGATAGATAGTAACAGTTTTTTTTAATAAGTTATTTTATAAAAGAAATATGAATTTTATGATAATCTTACCCATTGAATATTCGCAAATAGTTTTGCTGGTTGGTTCTTGGAATAAATCTGATGCATGTGTAATAATGATATTGCTCTATGGCTTGCCTTACAATGTATTCCACACTACCTGAAATTAAGTACATATTTATTAAGAAACAATTAAACAAAACTAATTAGTACATTATTTAAAAATATCTTAGAAAAATCTTAAATTTAAATATTCTTATAAAGTTTAAATTTTAAATATTCAAATAAATTTATGAAGAAAATTTTAAAATAATTCAATAAGTTATATATATTATAATTAATATTATTTTTAAACATTTATATATGGTGGTCAATTTTCAGATAAAATAGAAATTTTACAGTAATGCTATGTTACGGATCTATCTTCGTATGAGTTAGTAGTGTCAAGCTGTCAAAGAGTTGTGTATTTGCTGTGCGATCAGGTATTTTACATATAAAATCTAATCTATAAAACTCACTAACGTTAACTAACAATTTTATTATAAGTGCAAATTTTTGATGACTCCTTGATAACACATACATGGAGTTAGGTTTTATGAATGAGGGGTAATTAAAACATATTTTATCATTTATATGGACGACTTAACTCTGTATAAGGAAAATGAAGCTATAACTAAATTATTTTTTTTCCAACAAATGCATTATTATAGATATAGTATGGGAAATACTCAAGAAAAAAGTCAGATTTCAAATGGATTAAATGAATGAAATCATTCGAAAGCCATTCGATTCGCATTGACAGTAATAATAGGAAATCCGCTTTTGGTAAAGACTGATACGGTTTGAAATGAGAAATTGATTGAATTTAATGACCGTTCGTAAAATCAGTTTAACACTTTTTGTAGGATTTGTGCCGATAATGACTTTATCGGAATAATAGAACCGTAACTTTATTTAAATTTAGAAAATTTAAAAATTGATAATGACGAATAAAGTCTATACTCTATTAAACCAAAAATTTATAAATCCTAATACTGATAAAATATAATTTCCAAATTTAATTATTAAAACTAAGAATTTTGTTTTTAGTTTCAACAGTAATCAGAACAATTTCAAGCAAAAAAATTATGAATTGAGACAATTCTAATAGTGATGTAAATAGATAAAAGTTTTAAAAAGTTCTTGAGGTTTATCAATCCATATTTGTTTATTTTCATCGCAAAAGCAATTTTTTTAAAATTATGCTTTTACTTTTTAATATCTTCAAAACAAATTTTAACTACAACACTCAATTTTAATTAGTGGTAAATATTAGTTAATGCAAAAGGGGTGTACAATAATTACAATGATGAATTTTTAAGGATTTGTGGACACCTCCTTCCCTTCTTCTCTTACGCCACTTCACGTGCATTTTCAGTACTTAAAATAGTTAAAATAACAACAAATTTTTGGATTTTTATTAAAATTTTTTGGAAAATGATATCTTACTAAATTTTCCCTTCCTACGTGATATTTTGTGATTTTTTTTTAAACTTCTCCCCACTTTTTAGGCCTCAAGTGTAGCCTCTACTGTATTTTATTATAAATCAAAATTAGTAAAGGCCAAAACTTTTATTTTGAACTATTCAGTGATAGGCCACATTTTGTTTTAAACCAATTTTCAATACAACATCCCAATTTTATTTAGCGGTGAATAATTAGGTAATAACTAGTGGGGTGCATGGCATCGTGCCTTAAGGCAAATTTCTGGAACTACCCATACCGTAATTAAAAATCTTGGTACGGAATCCAAAAAAAATTATACAAAATGTGTACACATTATTAAAATCTATATAAAATATCTATTATCTAATATTTTTGACCGCAAAATGATTTTTTTTAACTTATTTTGATTGGGAGTCCATAACCGCTGGACCTGCTTTCCCAAAAATTTAACCAGTTTTTCATCTTGTCAATGCAAGTAAAATGTTTCTTGAATTATTAACCTCGGACGCTCCGTTCTCGTAAAAACTGATTTACCGTTTTTGGCACCTTTTGTGCCGTATCTTCGAAACGGTTAGACCTGCCTTTGCCAAAAACTAATCAGCATGTCTCCTTATCAATACGAATCGAATGATTTTTGAATTATTCAAATCGGTTGATCGGTGTTCCGGAAATCGTCGACAAAAATTTGTATCTGCACACACACATATATCCATTTTTTCTAAGGTATGTCAAAATGTTCAAAAACCTTTGAAACGTAGAGATATATAAAAATTTTCATTTTCGATTTTTTTGCGATTACTATAACTTACCTTATGGGAAGTTAATAAGAATATTTCAAACTTAGCAAAGAGTTTTTTTAATTGTAAATGATTATTGATGATTTTATCTGGAAAAGAATTTCAAATACAACGCTCTACTTTTAATTAGTGGTAACTGGTGATATTAGTCAATCCTAAAAATAAATGAAAATTATTGAAGGCCGAAATCATCATTATCTGAGTTGTTTAATGATACGCCAACATTTCGTTTTGATTCTGTATTTTATGTTTGTTTTTATTGTGATGAACCTCTTCTGATAAGTAATCCTCTTGGGAATGGAAATGTAGATACGGCAAAGTATTAAACACGTTTCGTCAGTAATGGAATGAGGATTACATGAAATTACTGTTTACTAAATCACTACATCAAGTGCTCAATCTGTAGGGATCAGGATCAGGCGAGAAGGGATCGAGCCCTGGCTCGGCAGCAATTAAAGAATAAATCTGAGTGCTAAGGGACTGTGTTTAAAGAATTTACATCGAAATGAAAATAGTAAGAATTGAACCTATTAAATTTATAATGATAAGGGCTTCATTTCCAATGCACCGGATAACTGTGTTGGCGGTCATTTGCAGATCATCAGCCATCACCAGCGAGCACCTAAGGTAGGGCGGGGCACAAAGGTCTAATTTAATTTTCATAGCAATTATATTCTGAACAAAAATCACATATCAAACAAACAACTATCTTTATATGTTCAACAAACTCCTTGCTGATTCATCATTGCAGAAATGTGTTTCTTTCGCTGTTTTCCAAAAATTTGTGATTTTTTTTTATCCTATAGGTGGGATAAATTGGAACGGGCAGGGGCCAAACAATTGCATATAATATTTACTTGTGATTTAAGCTATGTATGGCATGATATTTAACGTTATCTATAGAGATGATTATATTACATATTATATATATATATTAAATATTAGATGAATATTTATTTTTAATAGAAAAATATTTTATACTTACGTAATGATGGATCTATCATAAATGGAATTACACCATTTGGCCATAGAGCTGCCCTATTTAATATAGCAGATTTGCCCTAGAATAATCAAAGTACAGAAATATTTATACACCTATTACGGTCATGAACTAAAAACATAATTAAATGTATATTTTCTGTAATATTTTTAATGAAACAATTGATAAAAATGGTTAACGTATAGATGCAATAAACAGCTTTATTATTAATCACCATTAATACCATTTTCTTCGTGCTTTGATCAATCATTGAATTTAATAAACATTGGAACATATGGAAGTACTAGTGCAATTTAGATTTTATTCTTAATTGATCATACAGGAGATATATTAATTTTAAATTTGCTTTTTGAAAAATTGCAATTTTATATAATAGAATTTGTTTAAATGAGGCATGAGTAAAATCTTTTGCCAAAGGCGGAAGAACGAATTAGCTGATATAAATGTTTCAAAACCTTCAAAAGTTGATAAAAACATGCATAAAATAAAATATAAGTAGTCAAATATGATAATTTGATCATTTTATAAATATAGTGAAAAACAAAACATTTTCCTTGTTTTCCTCAAAATGTATAAGAGCCTAAAAGAGTCTCAACTACACATACTTTAATGCTAAAGTCAAATTAAGGAGTAATTTTTCTTCATAAATGAACATAGATGAAATAAAACTCTAATTTTTTAAGTTGACTAGTTTCTACTTGACATGATTATGACTTAACATAACTATGACCTAAACTCGCATAATTACTATATTTAACCTTATTTTTAAAATTTGTTGAAATAAAAAATTAATATAATTTGAAGATAAAAGACAAATAGTTAATTTAGTGAATTTGTTTTTTTACATTTTACCTCATTTTGATCGGTACTTAGAAACGGTTTTCATTTTTAGCGTCGTTTTTTAAACTTTTCAAGATTGTCAGATGATAAATTATTTCTTACAATCAGTAAATAAAATAATATATCAAGAATAACATTCTTCAGTTTAATAAAATCTAACAATTTTATAGACGTCAATTCTCAATTCGTTTTCGAGTGCACCGCAAAAAACATTCGATTTCTCCATATGGGTCGTAGTGGTGATTAATTGTTGGCAAATACAGGTCCAACCGTTTCCGATATATAAAATACAAATAATGAAAGTTACACTATTTATAATTATCTATTTGAAAGTATTCGTAAGGAAGTTCCAGAGATTTGCCTTAAGACACGATGCCATGCACTAGTTAACTTTCCGTAGTGTAAGTTGTAGTATTAATGGGCAGAAAATCGAGAATGAAAGTTTTTTCATATCTTCACGTTTTAGAAGTTTTTGAACATTTTGAGAGAGAAAGTCAGAGAAAATGATAGGGAGATGTGCTGATTAGTTTTTGGCGAAGACAGGACCCGCCGTTACGTAGATACGGAGCAGAGTGCATAAAATAGAGATTGAGCTTTTGAGAGAACGGAGTATTCGATTTAAATGATCCAAAAAACAATTTATAATGATTGGGAGAAGAGGTTATTAGTTTTTGGCAAAGACAGGTCCAGCCATTTTGAAGATACAGAGTTAATTGTATGAAAAATGGCAGTTTTTGAAAGAATTAAGCGTCTGATTCGAATGATTGATAAAACTTCCTGTTGCTGATTGCGCTGACGAAACAATTTCTTTTGGAAAAAAATCATTTTAATTTTTTTTTCAAACATTTTTTATGCTTATCGAAAATAATTCAGATTTTAATTTCAATTTTGGTTAAAGTTCTAAAACCCACTTATATATACTTTAAATAAATAATTTTAACTTTGCAATTCAGTTCATTAAATTCGTATAAATATTAGACAATGTTGCAGTATTTATAATAATCTATTTGAAATCATTTAATATTCCTCGAATATTTCGTTACGATGCGAGAAGTTTTATCAATTTGCCTTAAGACACGCAGCCATACACCACTAGTTTCTCTTTCTGATCAGAAATTAATAGTGACTTTTAAAAACTTAATTATTTGAACAAAAAATATGATAGGACTAATTCAACCAGAAGCTCTTGCAAAAAGTGAGGTATTTAATTACACATAATACATTTTATTTTATTAAATACTCACTCATTTATCATATTAACATATGTATTCCATATAACCATTGGTATTAATTGCAAATTAAGTAAATATTTGAATAACGATATTGTTATGCAATAAAATCAATAGATTTTGACGCAAAAGATACGTGTTATCACGAATATCGAACGGGCTTTGTATAATTTAATGGATGAAATGTGTAGCTCGTAAAGGTTGGAAAACAAGGCATGGCTATTAGTTATCATTCATCAAAAATTTCATGATTAAAGCAGTAAAATTTATTGCACGAACAGTAAATGTAAATAGGGAATCATAATTGGTAATGTAATAGCTTTTTATTGTTCCCTAATAAATAAATGAACAAAAATGAGTGTGAATAATGATCGAAAAATTATATGACTACTACATACAGTTCCTGCTTGAATATGGCTTAAAAATGGAAGTGCTAATAATATTCATAATTAACCCTTTCCACTCGCAAAAATCGAGATTTTTTGCCGCCGGAGCGGTTAACATAAACTATTTTGCAATACCATTTTATGGGACCCCCCATTAAAAAAATGTTCGCAAGTCATCAAAAGTTGGCGCATTTACTTATCATGATTGTGAAATGGTGAAATACTTGATAATTTTGTCATGTTAGTCAATTGTTAATTTAGTAATGCTTGGCATCGTGCCTTAAGACAAATTGCTGGAACTTTCAGTAACAGAATTAAATATTCAAGGAAAAAAATCAATATTCAACAAATATTGATCAAAGATAATAATAATAATTGTTTTAAATAATTTCAAATAGATAATTACAATATATTTTATAATTCATATATTATACAATTACGATCCTGTTAAAAATGTTTACATTAACGAGATGCTGAATGACTTCATCTGAGGGTATATTTCTTACAATAATGCATATGGAATAAATATTTTAAACTAAATTGCAAATTCAAAATTTATATTTGAAGTATAAAACCTTGTATATTTTTGACAATTTAAAAAAAAAATATTCTGAAAATTTTGAAAAAAAAAATTATTCTGAAAATTTTGAAATTTGTTTGAACCATATAATTAATACTTTAAAAATTAAAAATTAAAAATCTTGGGACGCAACCCAACACATTTTAACAAAATTAGTACTCATTTTTAAAAGCACTATAAAATATCTGATAAATTGATGTGCATATGTCTAATGATCATTTTAATGGGCAATTGTGTTATTATTTTTTACAGCGGTTCTAGAAGTATTACTCGTAGTTGAAGTTCATAGTTTTCTAAAAGCGAGAGATAATTTAATTTATGGTTGAATTTAATTGTTTCACACTTTCTATAATTGCAAATATATATTTATTATTATATTTTTGTGCACATAATAATTCAGGATAGTAACAAAATAAATGACTTACATTATATATCATATCGCCTTCTGCTTTATCATTTTGGTAAAGAGCATTTCTTGCTAAAATTTCTTCCGTATCATTTAACTTTTTAGTACAAAAGGTTCCATCGTAATTGCAAATGGTCTCTTGAATAGGTGCTGATAAAACATTTTCAGATGATATACTAATAATAAATAATATTGACAAAAACAGCATCATCTTCAAAAGTTCACTGAAAGTTCTACTAAAAACTAAAATAATTTTTGTGACGTTTATAATGAAATACTAAAAACGTATGGATAAAAAAGCTACAATTCAACATTTTATATGTATAAAATCATTGCCATATTTGAGCTCATTGGGCAATTAGTAAATAATTCGGTTTCATATTGTTTATAATATACTTAAGATTTTTCGCTATTTCCTAATATTTAATAAATTGTTCAAACGTACTTTATTCTAAACAAGAATAATCATTTAGTTGAGAAAGGTTAGTACAGAAAATGAGTCAAGGTTGAGATAAGGGCCAAATGAAAATTTGAACATGGTTTAAGTTATCACCTTAACATACTTACGTGCTCATGACCTATTACTGTTTTGAGTTAGAAATATAGTCAATTTATTTTAATGGCACGTTTTCTTGATGTCTCATGCCTTTCTGAATCGAATGAGACCAAATTTGGAGAAAGAGAATGCGAACAGATTTTTTGCCGTAAATCAACGTTTTCTCAAAAACGACTTGATTGATTTCAAAAATTTAAAAGAGCCATTCAATGTATCTCGATATTTATTACTCGATGAGGACTAGCGTTTATCAATTTTGCGCGACGATCAGCCAAGCCGTTTCTTTGTAAATAGCTGAAAAGTGAAAAATCTTTCGTGCAAGTTTTAGCCCGCAATTCTGAATCTTTCAAAATTCAATAACCGTTCGAAACATATTGGTTGGGAATCGTGCAGAATAGTTTTTGGCAAAGATTGTTAAAAAAAATGTTTTTCAACGGTTTTTATGATTTTTTTACGGTAGAGAAACCATAGTCTTACATATCATACTAAAATATTAGGACCCTATGTAAATAGCAGAAGAGTGACAAATTTTTCCTCCACGTTTTAGCTCTCAATTCTGAATCGATTCGAAAAAATCAAAATCTTTTCGAAAGATATTAGTTGGAAATGATACTGTTTAGTTTTAGGTAAAAATCTAAAAAATCGAAAAAATCAAAATCTTTTCGAAATATATTAGCTGGGAATGATACTGATTAGTTTTAGGTAAAAATACTACTAAGCTATTTTCTTGAAATTAACTGTTGAAACAAAATTTTGCCGATTTTTATGAACCTTTTTTGGCAACAGGTATCATGATCTTATAAAACATACTAAAATGTTACGACAAACAATGTTAAAAATTAACATTTTGGGAAGTTTATGCAACTTGCCTTAAGGCAAAATGCCTCTTTAAACTAAATTTAAACAGTTATAATCATAATGTAATTTTCCAAAACCATTTAGTTTTTTCTAGTAATTAAGTGCAAACATTTGCTAATATGTTTTTACTATTATATATGCGTATATTCAACATATACGAAATTAATATTATAGATTCGATTGAATTATTAATTTTAATGATCCATATAATATTGCAGAATTTAATCAAACGGTATTAAAATTCCATTATATTCAAAATGATGCATAATGTTATGTGTCGACTATCACATCTCCAGAAGAAATACTATCTTCATTTTCTTATGTAGATAAAAACGATGCATTAGGAGATAAAATATCCAATTTCAGTTTTCCCGGTACGTGTCGCCTCATTTTCTATCTTATTTTTCTCATATGTACTTCCAATAATTGAAATACATATGCGAGAAATCATTCTTATAGATGAAATCTATGCTACGGCACACGTAGACCAAATCTACTCTACGTCGTAGACAGTAAAGAATTGATGAGGTGCGCAAAAGCTGTAAGGTGATATATCACATGTGTATGTTAAAGACAGAGATTGGAAACATTTTAAATATATTACAAAATATCAGAAAATCAGTCTTAAATTAAAAGTTAATCTTGATAATAATTAAGTGAGATTGGAAAGTATCGATAAAGTTATATATTCATAATGAAACCCAAGTATATTTCTTTTAATTATTTATTAATTTCCCGAAGGAGATGTTTTTCCGATGTATGCTTTCATAATAAAAAATCGGATTCGCTAATTTTATGTTTTCTTGACGTTTCAAGCCATTCTGAATTGAATAAGACCAAAGTATATGAATGTGTATGTGTATGTGAACATATTTTGGACCTTTCGTCGATATTTTCTTAAAAACGGCTGGGCCGATTTCAAAAATTTAAAAGCCATTCGATGTGAGTCGATACGGTTTTGCGCGACGATCGGCCAAGCCGTTTCTTTATAAATAGCAGAAATGTGACAAAATTCCGTCCACGGATTAACCAAAAATTCTGAATCGATTTTACATATTCAAAAACTTCTCGAAATCGTGCTGATTAGTTTTGGACTAAGATCGGCCGGACCGTTTCTTCGTAATTAACTGGTAAAAATAATTTTTTGATGAAACTTTTTGCGTTGATTGATAGATTATAGATCAAAGTCCTAATGAACATACTAAAATATTACGACAAGTCGTTTAATTTTAAAAATTCACAAAGTTTGAATAAAAATGAGTTTGAATAAAAGTTGTATCAAAAATCGCTTTTGTGATGTGATGGGTCAAAATTTAAATTTCAAAATTTTAAAAGCCACTTCTTTGGACTCAGCGGAAAAATAAGTCTACATAACTATTTTAGTTGTGTAAAAAATGTTACCATCAATTTAATGATATAATAATATCAAAGGCTATACGTACAAGATTTATCGTGATCGTGCAGTTGAAAATTTATCTTAATATCTGAATCGGTTGATTAAGTCAATCGAAACATATTTCTAAAAGATCATACAATTTGCCTTAAGGCAAAATGCCACTTTTACAAGTTTACTTTAATATCACTTGGTTTTCCTAATTAGGCATGCACGCAAAATTCACGATTTTTATAAATAAAAATGTATAATTAATATTGCAATTTTTTAATTTTTAAGCATAGGAGGCACGCAAAATTCACGATTTTCATAAATAAAAATGTATAATTAATATTGCCATTTTTTATTTTTAAGCTTGGGTACGGTTGTGCCATGGTACGGTAGTGTAGTGACAGTCGTTTTCACAGCTAAACTATACTGATTTTGGGATAGGGTCCAAAGGTAAAAAGGTTAAGTATGTTTGTTTGAACAAGTTCCCATTATTGCTTTCAGTCAGTACTTTACATTAACATGATCTATTGGCCGCATTGCTTTCAAAGACTCAGAAGTAAGTTTTTATGTTCGAATTCTTTTAATAATAACTGTTAATTGAATACAGATGGATCACTTCTGACTTAACTAAGACAAAATGCAAAAGAGAAAAGAAAATAGCAAACTAAATACAAACAAAAAGAATTTACAATTATTTTATGTTAACTTTGTTTAAATAATTATGTAATACATACTCTGGTACTATATAATTATCGTGAAAGAGATAATATCCGCACTAATACTGAATTTTGTTAATTATGCAAAAGAATTATGAATATTCAGCTTGAAATCTACACATCGTTAGTTAAACGTTTCAACGAATATGTCTTTTATGATAATGCATATAAAGGATTAAATTTCATCTAAGTACTTTCATGATCTATAATAGTATAATCTATATATATATATATATATATATATATATATATATATATATATATATATAAAGCGATAAAAGTATGATGCGAGTTTTAAGTGAAAATGATTTTAATCAGGATCTATAATTTGATACAAATGCATTTCCAGTTTTTCAGCAGTTCTTTATTATAAACTTTTTTTCTTTGGCAAAATAAAGAAGAATCCTAGCTAATTAATAAATGCCCCAAAATTTTACTAAACCTATCAACTTTTATTACATACATTTCATTACATCTTGAACAAAATCATTCAACACTGAAAATAAATTAAATACCAAATATGAAAATATTATCTGAAAACAACTGCACTTTTAATATGTAATACATAATCAATTGCATTACTCGTTAATGCAATTATTTAATTTCACATTGAAAACTTGTTAATTTTGATATCAAATGAATTATAAATTTTGATTATAATTTAATAATGATACTGTGTATGCTTCCAATGGAAGCACACCACATTTTAATTAAAATATAATTATTCATAATTATATTTGTTGTAATCGATCATTTTATTTTCATATGTTATATTTATCAGTGTCTTTATATTAGCTCTTTGTATCTTAATATAAAGTGTTAAAAATAGATGATGTATTTTTATTTTTGTCAGTTTTAATTTTCTGAATAGGTGTTCAAATTTGCTTCTCATTAGTGCATAAAAGTTTTTCATGTGTAAAATGTAAAGAACTAATTTATAATTATGTTAAACATGTGAATTTGAGTTTATGAATTGAGTCGCATACATAATGCAAAGTCAACGGAGCTATTAATTTGATCTATTATAATCAACTTATAATGAATAACTCTATTCAGAGTTTAAAATCAATATGTGCTTTAACTTTCTTTACTTAAGTTTTGCTTTACATTTGAAATACGTAACCTAACATACATAAAATTGGTATATAATTTGTATATATATGTATATACTTACCTATATCTTATTTTACTTCATTTAAAAACTTATATCTGGTTTCTATATATACATACAACCCATTTTTTTTACTTTTTTATCGACAACCCCCATTTTAATGCGGAGTTGACAAAATATATACTTCAATTCTCTATTTCATAATAGTAATTTCAGTAATCAAATAATTTTTCATCACGCTTAGTGAGTGTTTTGTTCACTGAATTTTAATTGACTTTTTTCTGAGCATATGATAAAGCATTTATTTTACCTAAACAATTTATTTTATCAAGGGTTGATAAATAAAATAAAGGCTTCTCATTGCACAAATATTTTCCGATTCGCACAATCCGTACACAGTTAATAAATAATTTGCATAATAGCCCCGAGGCTATTCGCATTCAAGGTTACTATAATTCATAATGGGCTGTAACTTGGCAAAATTGTTTAAAAAACAATTATAAAAAAAATCACAAGTTCTCATCAATCCGATGCAAGATAAAAAAAATGGCACAAGGTGAAAGGTCAAGGAAATGACCCTTTTGCGATTTTTAGCCAAATGGTCAATTTTATCGCAAAATTACCTGACTGTGGGAATAATAATTTTCAAATGTTTCTACATCTGTTTCCTGTTGTTTTTCTTGATCTTTTTCTTATTCTCTTTCTTCTTTTTTTCTTCTTCTTCTTCACTTTGAGTATAAGCTTTTCCTGGTTTAAAAAATTAATAATTTAAATTTAAAACGGCGTCTCTGAGCAAAAAAAGTATTGATGCATTTTATGATCAATATGATAATTTTATGCTCTACAATATTGTCTCCGGTAATTTTGCGATAAAACTAAAAATTTAGCTAAAAATTGCAAGATGGTATCTTTTTTATCTCTGACCTTGTGCCATTTTTTAGCTCGCATCGCATCGAGGAAGACTTTTGAGAATTTTTTTATAATTGTGTTTTTAACAATTTTGCCAAGTTACAGCCCATTATGAATTATAGTAACATTCACCCTAATTTTAGGTTTAAATTGACAGGGCTATAAAGAGTAATTTTTGTAAAAAAATAGAGATTGAATATTAAAATTTCAAGATACAACAGTTTTTGATAGAAAAATTTCTATTTTTTTCAATCCGATGAAGTATAATAAATCTTAGATCTCGAATTATTTATAACGCTGTAACATTAAATGAATGACATTTTTGAACTCAACTGAAAATAAAGTTGACTCTTTATACCATTAAAACTAATTTTATGAAAAATTCCTTAATTCATTTTCCTTAACTTCAAATCAAACCTTGATGTTCATTGCTGGCCAATAACTAATAATCAATATTTGTATGTGATTATAGATCATAATACAACTACAATTAACGCAAAAGAAATATTTAATTTTATTTGAAAATGGCATTTACTCTATTGTTTTCATAATATTTGCTAAAAACAAAAAATATAATCTGGCTTGAAGGACTATATTCTTAAAACTTGCGATAAACCAGAACCAAATATAATTCTGGTCAGTAAAAATTATATTTTATATTTTTTATTCAATATTATAAAATTTCAAACTTCTTTTGTTTCCATAGACAATACTTTGAATGTAAACTTTTGATCCGGAAAAATGAAACTATTCTTAGATTAAAAACATTAGATCCTAAACTAAAAATATTTGTTTTTGTTCAGGATAGAAGATCAAAAAGTAAATTTATATTTATATAAATATTGAATTTATGGCTTACAATATTTCAAAAAACTGCTTGAGTTTAATCAAACCTTTATAAAACTGCTTGGTCATTTTGAATAAATCAGTTTACTAACGTTACGAAATATAGCATAAAACCATAATCCGTACATGAATAGAATTTGAAAATCTTTGTATCACGTTCGGTTTCTGAGTGTTATAAGCCTAAACCGTGGCAGAAATCCAGGCTGAATTTAATAAACCAAACCATACCGAACCATATATTATTATGCAAGCCTATTACGTTATACGTTCTCGATTCTCTGACGAGTTATGAATAATTGAAACCCTTCTATATGGTCCGTAATACGAAATTTGTTGTTATCCAAACGCGCTTTGCTCATATGAAACATGTTGTTTTAGTAACCGTCATATATTTTAGTGCGTATTAAAACAATATTTGGCTGAGGTCGTGCTCTGATTATTATGTAAAAGTGGGTTACAGTGGGTTGCTAACAATTTAAACAGAAGGCCTTCGCCGTTTGGCGTTCGACGTTTGCGGCGGTTTAAGCCCTATATAGAAGTACGCCTAAAATTTAACAGACCTTGAGAATAACTCGTGGTGTATGGTATTCTTCCTTAAAAAATATTTCTGCAAATTCTTGTTTTTAAAGAAAATGTTTCATTTTTGACACAATCTTTGCCAACTTTTATTATTTTGATGTTTCTTTAATTGACGGATTTTCATAAATTTCGTGATTTTGGATATGGATTCAAATAATATCAAGCAAATATTTTGCTTTATTAAATTCGATGTCCTTTAGTAATTAACTTCCCGAAGGAGAAAATTATGTTTTTGTCAAAAAATCCGATTTGCTAATTTTGTCTTCTCGACGTTTCAAGTCATTCTGAATCGAATGAGACCTAATTTTGCCAAATTATGTGTGTTAACCAATTTTTGACCTTTCGTCGAAATTTTCTCAAAACCGCTAAATAATAAACTCCATTAGTTTGTCTATATTTTGTCAATACAATCAATTTTAATGTTATTTTTGTTTTTTTGACGTTTCAAGTCATTCTGAACGACGTGAGACCAAATTTGGAAAATGTATGTGTGTGTGTGAACCGATTTATGACCTTTCGTTGTCGACGTTTTCTCAAAAACGATCAGCTAAGTCGTTTCTTTGTAAATAGCCAAAAAGATAAACATTTTTCGTCCACGTTTTAGCCCACAATTCGGAATCGATTACAAAATTTCAAAAACTGATATTGGTTGGGAGAGATACTAATTAGTTTTTGTAAAAATTTGCTGGCACAAGTTCTTGTAATTAAGTGTTGATTTTTTTTATTCAATTAAACTTTTCATTTTGATAGATGTCATAGTCTCCAAGAACATACAAAAATTTTACAGTCTTGAGGCAAGCAATTTAATTTTAAAAATTAATCAAAATTTTGAAAAATATTAGTCAAAATTTGTATAAAAAGTTGCTTTTATGATGTGAAGAGTCAAACATTGTAAATTCATTAAAATTTGGAATATAATTAGGTCTGTGCAATATAAATAATATAATTACAGAGAATAAAAATGTGTTTGAGAAAATTCAATTGGAAATCGCAATGTTTAGATTTAATTGAAAGTAAAAACTTCATTTTTCAAATACTCAGTTGAAATTTTTATATAAATATCTAAATCTTAATTTTGGTCGATTTATAAGTCAATTATGGAAGTTCATGCAATATTCCTTAAGGCTGAATGCCACTTTCAACTAGTTTCTTATTCTCACGAAATCCATATTGTGAGCAAGAACTTATAAAGTTCTCGAAGGAGATGTTTACATTTTTGGCCAGAAAATCTGATTTGCTGATTTTGTTTTCTCCACATTTAGTCATTTTGAATGAAATATGAACAAATGTCAAGAAAGTGTATGTGTGTATATATGAGCTTATATTTTTAAATCTTTTGTCCACGTATTCTGATAAACGAGAGCACCGATATCAAAAATTCTTCATTTAGTATATGTCAGAAATATATTTTGAAAAATCTTTGAAGTGCGACAAATTTAATTTTTGATCTCATTGTTAGTAAGAAAGATTCAAAGTAAAGTTAAATCCTTACGCAGAGCAGAAAAGTGAATTTGGAAAATTACCTATTGGAAACATGACCATTTTTAATCCGTTAAATTGACCTAAAATCATATTGTTGAAATTTCTATAATATGAAAATTTATCGCGTCTACTATGTTAAAAATCTATATTTGATCATTATATTTGATATATAGATATTTTAGCAAATTTCTATTGTTTCTCAAACTGCTGTACCTGCTTGCTTTTCTTTCACCAATATATGAAAATATTAACTGAACTTCTTTTAAATCTGAATCTTTTAAATTGATCAAGCCATTCCGTATATAGAAACATCTTCAATTCCAAAATGAAGCTAAAGTAAATTAATATTTTATATACAAACAAGATTTTGATAAAATTTTCTAAGCTTTTAAAATGTAAACTAATTTTTTTACCTTAATGATAAAGATTATAATACTTGATTAAACAGTTCAATCTACAAAATTTTCCGCGAGTGTGAATTTAAAAATATACCTGAACCTAACATTTTTATCAATTTAGAATTTAATTAAATTCAAGAAATCGATAGATAAATTAATCAATTACTTTTCCAATTTAAAACGCTTTTTTAATTGTACAATGTATAATTGTACTCTAAAGAACATTTCGTATAATGGAACGATTTAATGAAATCATTGTTTTTTTTTTAAATTAGTTTTCTATGGTATTAAAACTGTTCGAAATGTATTGATAATTGAATTCACGATGATATTGCTACAGCATATTTCCTTATTGTAGGAAAATTCAGATCCATGCTTTTTATTATCGATTTTTAAGAAAGATTTTTTATTACTCTTCTTTTAATCATTCATAATTATCATACATTTTTTAAATCTCCCGGGCTTTCGTATTGTTACTTTTTTATTGAAATAAATTATATCTTATTCGAATAGCAATTTTAAACAGATTTTTTTATTTCACTTTATTAGCACATTAAAAAAAATCATTTCATAAAGCCTGAAAATCTACATGTTATTCAAATAAAATTGAATAAATGAATAAATTTTCTGATATGTTACTTCTAATTGAAATTTTCAGAATGAATAATTTAAAAATAATTAAAAACGTTCAAACCAGTTTCACAAATTAATAACCAATTATCTACCAAATTCAAATTACAACTACATTGTACCTACACTACTTTTGCTCCAGAATACTTATATAAGAATCGATTAGAGAAAGCAATGGACTGCTAAGTACTGGTTTTAGTGGTGTTTAAAAAACTATTCTGTAAAAGGTGTAAAGGTAAAAACCATAAAAACGAACAACTTGTTCTCTAGAACTAAAGAATAAACGAAAACTAAAATGTTGCGAAAACACAAAGTAATAAATCAACAAATACAGACGTACTACCCTAGTAGAAACGAATCGTGGCGCAATATTGTACTTTTTATGGGCTCTATATTGTTTACCAATATTGCTATAATATTATTCTGTTAACATTTTCCCATATAAATCCAATATTAAAACCAATATAGGCCCCATATAAAACCAATATTGAAAAATAATATTAAAATCCCATTCAAAATTAATATAAGCCCAATATTGAAAACCAATATAAGATTAATATAAATAAACCATATTTACCCTACATAAAAAACCAATATAAGCTCAATATAAATAAACAATATTTACCCCAAATTCAAAATTATTATTTAACCCACATTTAAAAATATTATTTAGTTTATATAGAAAAACAGTATTTAACTCATTGATAATAAAAGTTTATTTATTCTAAATAAATACATACATTTTTAAATAGTTTATGTATTGAATCTTAATAATTTTATTAACAATTTACACATTATTTTATGATAATAAGATATAGAACAATCAAAATATTTTCAGTCATTATAATAATTTGGAGGATCTTAATGGTAAATCATAATCTCATCTTTGTTAATCCTGTCGCCTTAATTGTCTATTTATAAGTATTTTAATTAGTGATGGAAATTCTTATATTATTTGGATATTTTCACACATATTTTAACATTTTCTTGCATTTGATCACGATTACACCTGAAATAAGATAAAATATATTAATATTTTATAGCAATATTTCTGGAATATATTGATTTTATAAACTCATCATAAATTCAA